TGGTGAAGAAATTTTCCTAGTGCCTGTAAGGAGGGGATCTGCTGATAGAGGACAATTAAACACAGTTGCATGCACTGGGAGCATACTGAGGACAACATGGATGTGCCTGCTCTGTCTGTGAAAGAGGAGAAGAAACAATGAAATACTGCTATCCATTTCTAAAGGTACCCAGGGAGAGACCTCCTCTCCTGGAAAGGCTCCAAGCCCTGTGCCTCTGAAGGTGAGTTCTGGTAAGCAGCATTAAATCACCCTCATTACGCAGAAAAGAAAGCTCATTGCTAGGTGGAATTATAAAACTTCACGTAACAACCATTAGGTCTGAATTCGCAAAATGATTGCTTGTCTTCTGCATCCTCCTCCTATCGTTAGTGTCTTTTTTAACCCATTTGTTTAAATGTTTGCTCTTTCTTCCCCACCAACCGTGGCTATTTGCCAACACTTAATATATATATGGTCCTTTCTGACATTTTCCTAGTGCTGCCAGGCTCAGGTGATGCATGTTCCCAAAGCTCTCTGAAATCTAAGGATTAAAAAATACACAACAGCAGAGAAGGCAAATCATTACGCAGTACTTGACTTCTGTCCAACTTGTTAGCCTGCTCTGAAAACATGGAGAGATTAGTTAGCAGTCATACTACTCATTCTCATTTGTTGTATCTTTAGGCTCATTGTAGAAGTACGAATAAGTTCACACCTTTCAATGAGTCTGAAGGCCTCTTTAATGACTTGTCTAAGAGATTCGGTCTTGTGAACCATTTCATGAAACAGCCTCTAAAAAGAATGCTCTTCTCTCTGATTCTCTGAGTAGTTTCCAGAAATGTGCAGAGCTATGTAAGTTGTGTCTCAGATGTTGTCACTTTTTCCCCTTTGGTTAAGATTTGCTTTTGGCCTCATAGCAGAAAACAAATAAATTAACAATAGTTAAAGCAGCAAGAAAGTTCCCATAGCATCCTCGCACTCTTACAATCCCCTGGTAATCTCTGGGTTTTTAGTAGCTCTTAAGAGGTGCAGTGAAATCCAGGCACTTCCCAATTCACATTTGTTGTTACTTATACATTAAATATAATCTTCTGAATTATTGTAATGGGAATAACAAGGAATTTGTTTACAGGGAATGGCATTGACTTTCAGAAGATAGCTTGGAGAACATTCATTGCTCAGATCGCAGTAAGCCTGCGAACACAGAATAGATGCACTCCTACCTTTAAAATGCACAATGGTATTTTATAGCTGAAATAATACAGCAGAATTTTCCAGAGTTCTGAGAGGAAAAGCTTTTCACAACTCACACAGCGATTCTGTAGATAGGAGGCACAAACTTCACACTCTGATTTTACAGGAACAAAAGATGCACACATCTGGGAGCCAACTGCACTCATGGCGACACTTTCTTCATCAGAAACCCTTTGCATTTTCCCATTTCAAACTGTTGTGTGACAGTGAATCACTGATGCTCTACAGCTGCAGAACCAAAAATAGGCTCGGGAGCCAAGAGGCTGCTGTGAGGGAGCCTTTTCTGCCCTCAGCCCCAGGCGTCCAAGCACCTTGCTCCTCCTCCAAGCACTTCTGATCTCTTTGGGAGCACCCTGGTCTCCCTGTCTTGCTGGATGCTCCTGCAAGAGCGTATTCACACTTTAGGGGTGTCAGAAGTCATGGTGACAAAAGCCATGTTAGCATGCAGTGGAGATTGCCCGCTGAATAATTATAGGTTTCTTTGTCACAGTCAATCACGTTATGTGAAATTGTGGCAATTTCTGAATGTGTAGACGGAGCTGGCATGTTGGTCTAGATCCTGCCCTTCAACAAAACTAAGCTTCTTGTCAGATAATAACTGTGCTTCAGGCGGATCCCAAATGAATGCTGCCATCAAAATGATGGCAAAGTGCAGCCCAGTCTCCAAGTCTCCATGCCCGGACAGGGAAGGTTAAGTATCTTTCCCAGCACACTCAATTGCAGCAGGGTTTCTGTGAAGACCAAAAAGAGCATCTGTTGGGTGTCAGCCCACAACTCCTCTTTCCAAATCTTATTATTCTGTGTCACATTTCTTCCTTAAATAATTTCCTTTATGTTTTGACAAACAAAGCTGTAGTACAGACCCACATCTTTCGGCCTATAGCAATCAGCATTTCTCCAAGGCCCTCTAACCCACATAAAGTGCATTTGCTAAGAGTGTCTTGGATGTCAATTACTTGCTTGTATCTTCCCTTTCTTTGAGCCCATCCACTGGCTCTTCCTGGATTGCATTCCAGTTTATTTCAGTTAGTATCAAGGCTCTTAACAACTCTTTCTAGTTTTGTCCATTACAGCATTTGGACAGCAATGTTCTGAAAATAAGCTTGTTAATATTTTTGAAGCATCCAGAAATGGTGGTAATGACAGCCACAAAAAAGTTGATGAGGAAATTAGTCATTTTCTTTCCATTCTCAGGCTTGAATACTGTGCAGCAAATAAGATTTGGGAGCCACACTTCAAATGAAATAACCAACATCTCATCGTTACTTCACTAGGCTCTACCCAGTGCACCAGATGAGGCAGAGGTCTTAAGGAAAAAGTAGTAAGAGATAGAAAGAACCAAAACCTGCAACTCAATGCTCATGCAAAAAGAGATGACATTAAAACTATATGGCAATTTAACCCTGGTATTTCCTAACTGTCAGATGCTCAGCATTACAGCCTAAAGTTTTGTTGAATTTCTTGCATCTACAATGGTACATCATTACTCAGAAAAAGTGTTCAAATATTGCTGATGGCTGGGGTCTCAGGTTATAACACATATTAGTGTGGGATTGAGGTTGAGTCTGAGGTGTTAATCTTGATGTCTGGCTGTGGGGTACAATTGTGAGTTAAATGTCAGCCAGAGAGTTTGGCAGCACAGTCCCCAGCAGGAGGGGCCAAGCCCACCAGGAGAGCAAGTGCTCACTCCTGTCCTGCTGAGGAGCCCTTGGCTGTGATGACCACTTGGATCAATCTCCATGAGTGGCAGCAATGCGTGCACCCAGAATTGCCTAGCAATGCCTTAATATAAACATAGATGGCCAAATACTGAGACAGCAGTCACTTGACTGCTCTCTTTTCACACTCGGTGTATCACTTTTTCCTTGGATTGTAAACCTCACTGTATATAACCAAAGCCTCTCTCAGAGCTCGTAAGCTTCTACATGGGCCCATTGTCAGTCAGATAATCTGAGTCTTTCATGACATAAACACTGAATTTTATTGATGGCACTACCAACACTATTTTCTTTTGAAGCAGTTATTCAGGGTGGGATCCAGTCACCTCAACACAGGCATTCAGCTGTTTGTGATGCCCTAAAACAGACTATCCAGTCCTGGTGCCATTCCTGGTTGCAGCCTGCCCTTGTGCTCTGCACAAATACTCCAGCTCTGGGCAATGCCAGTTCGGCAGTGCCCGACCTGGACATCTCAGGATGTATGGGATACCAGCACTTTGGGGAAGTGAAACAAACCTCATGGCGACATCTGGATGAAGACAGCACACTTCTGATCAGCTGGGTTTAATTAACAACTTCACTGAAAAAGGAGGAATATTCTCACTCAGGATCTGGCTGGTGACAGAACAACTGCTTGAGAAACTTCAGTATGGAGTTCCCCAGGCCATGGAGCATTTTCATCCTGGGGCACCCCAAGCTCATTGACCTCGGCCTCCTCACATCATGAACTCAAGGGTGTTCACCCTTTCAGAAATGCCCTCTGAAGGCAGGATCAGGCTTACCACCACTTAGTATAATTTAATGAGTGCAGCTGCAGAAAGCAGCTGCATATGCAGTCATAGCCCAGAACTAGCAGAGGTAAAACACATGAGCTTAAATCTCTTTTATTGAGTTTTAAGTGAACATCTTCAGCTGACAATTGCAGTGGGTCGTTGGCTGTTAAATGGTCAGTGCACAAGAACTCAAAAACTGCTTTACCACAGACTTTTTCCTATTCAACTACTCAAAAGAACAACATTCAGGGAATGAACATCCAAAATATTTCCTGTACACAATTTAAAGCTTTGGGATTTGGACACAAGAGTTTTTCAACAACAAAGAAGCTCACTGGAACTAAGACCTCATCTGGGACGGGCAGTTTGTATTACCAGCTCTTCCGAGCTTACAATATTGATGATTCAAATCCTCTATTTCAACCTAGGTAGATACCTTTTTTTTTTTTTAAACTTACTGTTTCTCAAATGCACTGCCATTTCTAGTCTTTGTGGAGAAGTCTATGAACACCCACTTCAGAAGCCATAAAACTATAATGCAACAGGAGTTAAAATACTTATTCAGAACGGTAGGGTTTGGCCTGACTTGTTATTTTTAAAACGTTCAGGTCAGTGAAGTTGACTTACCTGTCCTCTCCCCCAGTCTCAAAACTGAAAGTTGGGTAAAACGCCCATAAATCCAACCTGAACTTACATGTATATGCCTGCAGCACTGATGTCATCAGTCATGAGGCAGTCATGAGGCAGGATTTGACGTGAATTTGATGGTGTGAGTGCACCTGTAAACACAGTCTGGCACCTTCATCACCGCCATTCCATCCCCACACTGCGCTCTGGGCCACAAGCTCAGTTTGGCTAAGAACTTTAAAATGCTAAATTTTTTCCAAAATATTGTATAATGAAACAAGCCAGCAGTGCTTTGGGCAATGATCTTAAAATACACTCCTCTGACATTCTCAGAATTATTTATATTCATGCTGGTGGCATTAGCCCAGAGTAAAGAGAAAGGAGCAGAGACTCCTACTCACACCCAAGGCTAAGTGCAGTCCTTTCTCCTGAGCTTGACCTGGAAATATTCCTGCATTGCCAAGGGGACAGAGGAACAGTGACAGTAACTGACCCACATCATGATGGCGGCTAAGGTATTTGCCTGAGGAGACGTGGGTTTAACTCACTGGTCATTACAGCTTCACACGCTTTCACACTTAGTCACAGTCAGTGCACAGGCCTGCAGAAAGCAGAGACATTCATAAAAAGGACATGAACCAGAAAGGTATTTTAGATCCATTACTTGTAATTTATACACCAATGACATGTGGCATAAAGACAAAATATACAGATTTTCATATATACATACAGGAATCAACACAGTACACAATTTAAAGTTATGTTACAATTAAGTGTACAATTTTAAATATGGCTTTGTAAACTAGTAGTAATAACAGTGCTAAAATAATGTATGTCTTGTGAATTCATCAACAAACAACACAACGCAGCTACAGCATTAAAGTCCTCATTTAGCAATGTGTTACTCCACTTTGTTAGGAAAACCTTGTACACTGTACAGAGCTGGATACATCCCTCCCCCATACCCACCCATATATGCTTTGTTCTTGGCTGATTTTGCACCCTGAAGGTTAAAACTTTGGGGCCCGCATTCTTCAAGTATTCTGAAAAATAAAAACCTGTACAGTCAAAAGACGACCACTCTTAAGAACAAATTAAAAAGCAAGGGAAGAGCATACACCGTGCCCAGTGACAATATCATCACAACAAGTGAAGCTTAAAAAGGTTTTTTTTTTTAAAGTCTTTTTTTTTAAGAGTTTAAAAAACAACCAACCAGTTTCTTGTTTGCCTTCCTCTAGTGAACAGCCCTGGTAACATAAATTTCTACATGAGGGCTTCCAAGTGACTCAGACAAAGGACTGAGAGAAGTGATAAATTCTGGGTCACTTGGAAGCCCAGTTGGAAACCTCTGGCCTTTCTGAAGCCAATGGCACTCCTGCCAGTGACTTCAAAGGGGCAGGATCTTGCCATTCTGCAGAAGCTGAATGCCTTTTGGAAGCAGATGCTCTGTTTCTGCTTAAGTTTGTTGAGCTGGATGTGGATATCGTTAAGATGAAATTCTATGGTCCTTTTTATGTATGAGTCACACTCAATGTCCATAACTATCTCTGGCCTCAAAATCTGCCAGCAGGGCAAACAGAATACAGTACTCACAGCTCAGCACCGCAGTGACTCACTGAACGTTTTCATTGATTAAGATTCCCATACTGCACACACACATCCCGTTTCTTTCCAAACACCTCAGGAACCTGTGAAAATCTCCGCTGAGAAGTTCTTCATGTTAGCACGTAAGGGAAGGCGTGCAAAAAAAGCTCTTCACAATGGCCATCACAGAGCACTACCCAAAATTGCTGAGACAGAGCTGATCCGTGCTGCAATGCTTTTCCCACCTACAGCGAAGCTGTAAAGATTGAGGTCACTAGCCTGAAACTCCACGCAACCATTTCACCGTCACACAGGAGGCCGACACAGTATGGGATGATGGAGAAGGTCTCCCCTTGACAGGACACCAGTGGGTCACGATGGCCCACACACACCACTGGGCACCATCAGAAGGAAGCCACAGCCACTGCAGTGCCATGTAAAGGAGCCAGACCAAAAGGGATTCTTCTCCTTTATCACATGGACACAGAACACAGCATCGGTACAGGACAACAGCAAAGCAGCAGCCCCACCTGAGCAGCAGCATTAAGGAAGCCCCTCCACTACGTCCTCAGTGGTAACAAGCAGCTGAGGCACGGTGCAGCACACACAGATACAGAAGCACTAATATGCTGCTGAGAATCACTGTGGTCATTCAAGGGTACCTCTAATCCTCCTTGTCCACAGATCAGACAGTGCAGCTTGGATGTTCCTCCAGATCACAGCCACTGACAGGTATGGGAATGACTCACCCCTACACTACGTATATCCATTTCCATATACCAGCTACAGGGCTGTTCAACATAACTCTACATTTAAAGACCATAATTTGCTTTATTTTGATGATAGGCCTGATTTATAATTTTGCAGTATTTGGTGATGGAGGGGTTAGATTAAGTAGCTACTTGTCAGGAAACAGATTCAAATTCTTCAAACATCTGAGGACAAGAACCACTTGAATTCATCCCCTGCCACAGAAATTTTGCTTGGTGAGCTGCCCTGCATAAATCTGCACATAACACACTTTTCCAGAAGGCAGTATTTTGTACGGCTGAGTATCTGACAGATACAACCCTTTCAATGAAAACAGTATGAAGCTGTCATGATTACTTGAGCAGACATCACTGACAAAAAGAAATTTGTGCCTGAACTATTGCTGCAGAAATATTTCAGGCAATATTTTTTCAAAGAGAATACAGATCTGGAGGGACATTGCCAAGGTTTTAAAGATCAAAATGTGTGACTTGCAGTGTTGTAATTGGATGGAAACAGTCCTCCAGATCTGAAACATCAGGTTTGGTTTGGTTCTTAAATCAAGCACCACATTTGTACAATTTCTGTAGGACTTATACAGCCCAGCATCTATCTCCCCACTTGGTAACAGTGAGCTCTGCTGACAGAGCCAGCAATGCTGACACTGACACACAAATCCATCCTGACATGACAGCGTTACACAATCAAACACTGCAATCCACAGCTCAAAAAAAAAAATTAAAAACCCACAAACCAGGCTGCCTTAAATTTAACTACAGTGGGAACACAGAGTATTTTTTTTAATTCCCATTTGCCAAATGAGGGAGAGAAGACCAATTATCATTCCCTCACAGAAGTATTACGGAAATATAAAATAAATACAATACTCAGTATTTGGCAGTGTTCAGACTTAAAAAATGGTGCAACCACACTGTCCCACAGTGAAGTCAAAGAGCCTCTCCCTACTCACGAACGAGGCCCTTCACACACACTGCCTGCTCCCATGCCCACCCTGCTGCTTCCCCAGGCCAGCCTGCAGTCATGGCTGGGACCACCACCAGGTCTGCTCTCCAGCACCTCCCATGCACTTGGCTCTCATGACACAGGCTCCTGAACCCTTTCTAATGCTGCCCTACAAGAAGTCCCCAGTCACTAAAAAACCCTTGCAGGGTCAGCATCACCTCAGGCACAAAATCGTGGTCACTTTCACCCTTCAGCTTCAAAAGGCCTTCATACCTCACACAGCAGGCAGTCGGTGCTCCTGGGCTGTCCTGGGTTTCAGCACTGCGGTGACACCTGGTTTCCTGGCCCCTGCAGCACCACGGTCAGGGCCTGCGGGGTGCTTGCAGCAAACTTCCATTGCGGTTTTGATCAGGGGAGAGTGAGGGAGAAAAAAAGCAGAGGAAAAAAATGAAAGAGCCCAAGGAACATAAAGAGTCATGGAGCTGCATCGGGGGAGGATCAGGGTGGGCATTAGGGAAAGGTTCCTCACCACAGAGCAGTGGGCATGGAACAGGCTGCCCAGGGCAGTGGGTACGGTCCCAGGCTGCCGGAGTTCAGGAAGCATTTGGAAAATGCTCTCAGCCATGGGGTTTGAATTCTGGGTGGTGCTGTGTGGAGCCAGGAGTTGGACTTGGTGATCCCCGTGGGTCCCTTCCAACCATGTGACTCTAAGATGCTTTCAGACAGTTTGTAGGGTTTGCAGAGCCCCTCAAGCATGGAGATAAAAAAAAGAAATGAGCAAGGGGAGAACACCTTTGCAGGACTAAGGAAACATTGCCCTTTTAGCAAAATGTTGAAAACTTAACTGTGTTTCATTTTTGTTGAGGACAATTCTTGTCCACTCTTCCTCCATGTAAACCAAGACTATCTAACACTTTTTCATGGATGTTAACAAAGCAATTTCTTTTTCTAAATATCTTTTCCCCATAAATATTTTGCCAAGGCCAGCTTCCAAAAGAGAAACTCTTGGATTAAATCCTTAACACAGGTCTAACAGACAATATTTGTTTCTGGAAAGGATAAATTAACTCAAGGATTTACTACCAGACCTTGACAAAATACTACACACACCAATTCCTAAATAAATGCTGTTTTCTAATTTCACCTCTAGTTTGAAACACAGCCAAACACAGAAACACAGTACCTAGAATAGCCGTCATAAGGAGAAAGCTACTTATTGAGTAACTTCTCTAAAATAACCTGAGTAGTTCCTAAGAACTGGAAGGCATGTGACATGCTACAAAATACATTCACCCAACTGATTACAGCACTGAAAAAAATATCAGCTGACAACAAAAAGTTCCTTCCCCCTCCACAGCCCCTTCAGATCCACTGTGTTTCACTTTTCTGCAAGAAAGCCCATCACCACACTTACCAAAGCGAAGTCAAGGCTCTGCTGAGGATGAATCCCCAGATTATTTCTCACCATTCGGCTTCTTTTGGCACCAAAACTTACACATACATATATTCACTCACATATTCTTATATATGCACACACATATTTTTAATAGCATATGTATGTGTGTATATATATAAATGCATACACGTGCCCTACGATGTACAATATCAGATGCATCACAGAAGCAATTCTAGGAACAAAGCACTGGGCACTCACCAAGAAAACTTTCAGATATAGAAGACCACAACATGACACCAGCTCTGTACCATGGCAGTGATGCCAATTTCTGTGCCCACTGCCACATATCGTCACGTGATATCCAAATGCTTACATATGACAGGGCAAAATTACATCACTGGCTTCTGGACAGTTTGCCTTTTGGGATGCCCCAAGCATCGCTGCCACTGACAGACTTGTGAGCCCAGGAAAATTATAAATATGACTCTGTCCAATGAACTCAGGCTGGTCTTTTAATAACCATGACTCACTGCTGGGATTCATCTGGAGCCAGCAGGGGCTCCATACCTGGAAACACACTCTCCTAATGCTGAAAAGATGGATAAAGAAATGAGAATGTCTTGACCAGAATTCCAAAATCATGAGTATTTTTTAAGAGGAGCTTCTTGATGTACATGCTTTTTATCCAGAATAACAGTATCTAAATGTTTGCACCTGCCCTGACTTACCTGCAAAGTTTCACAGGCATGTCAGACCATTGCCCCTTGTGCTTTCAAGCCCAAGACTCATGTCCTTGTGACCTGTTCCTGTGCTTAGTTTCCTAAAAAGGGTCCCAGGTAACTGGATCATACCTTCCCCCTCCTCAGTTTTGGTTCATTTTGCTTTTGCAAACATGACAATAGAGACTTGCCCATGATTACAAGGCTGGAGCACAGCTTCAAGCAAATGTGTTGGGAATTTAGGAAATAGATGCAAGTTTGTGCTCACCTCAGACCAAACTGCCTGCTCTCACTGCAGTAGCTCTCAGACTTGGAAGAGACACAGGAATTCACTGCAACTTTGTCCCCTCTGCTTGCAGAGCCATGGCTAGCTGGGTGTTCCCTGCAACAAGCTTCTTCCTGTCAAAGACAATCTATAGTGCAGGAAAGGGATACGTTCTTTGAAAGCTGGAGTTAGTTCAATCTCCAGACTACTAGGACCATCAGCAACTAACATCATAACGTACTTGTGTCCTGCCTATTCTTAGAATCAACATATGACAAAATTTCTGCTGAGAGGTCGTGATTCATGGAAATGTAACTCAATGAGAAAGTCCCGATGAAAGTAATTTCAACAGGCTACCACCAACTTATGCAGATAAAACTCGATTTTCTACACTTCTACAAAGACCAGGGTCATCTGTAATTTCCATATGCTTTTTAATTAAAATCAACCACTCACTATCAAGCAACACAGGTGTAGATGCTTAACTTCAAACAGGTGGGCCAACCCAGTGGATCCATTCTTATCTTCACACCGACACCAGAACACATCGGCACCTGTGCAGCTATTCTTGCTTTGGTTCTCCAGATTCACAAGTATGGCACCAAAGAGGCCTTATGATCAACCCTAGTCACTATTTCAGCTCCTGGAAATCCTCACAGAATATGCTGTGACACCACTGTCTTCTCACAGCTTGCTCCCACACACTGCCTTTAGGAACTGTGCATTATAAGCCAGCAACCGCCCACCGTCCCAGCCAGCTCTAAAGCATATGATTGCAGGATTACACCTTATATTTACACAGCACCTCACACCTAAAAACACTTCAAGTTCCTTTGCAAACTTTAAAGGTTTGATGTGTCTTTCCATAAAGAACACAAACCACCCACTGCTGTGATGCTCCAGTCTTTCAGTAATGAATCCCATTTCTCTAAATCAGTAGCAGCTGGTGGCAGGAAGTACAAACATCTAATAATTCAAAAACACAGAAGAGATTTAAAGGCCTGAAGCCAGACTTCGGCCAACACACTTTCCAGATTAGCATGTGGGTGATTATACATTAAAACTGACATTCTTCTTTTGAATAAAAATATTCAACCTTCTGCAAAGAACAAGAAATGCTAAAGTGTTCCCTTCTGTAGAAACACATTTTCCTTCTGCCTTCCTTGTCTGTCTCTGAAAGAACCAGGAGCAGTTGATTCCTGCAGACACATTGTGATCACCCAGACTGCAGGTAGCTATCAAAACTTTCCTGAAACTGCACCAAATCAGCATCAATAATTTTCTTCCACGTGAGAAACGTGTGCCAGTAACACCTCTTCCTCTTTTGTCCTTGACCCATACCTGTAAAGATATCAACAGAAACCAGCTATTACAAATGCTCCACCTCCTGGAGTTTTCTCCCACTCAACTGTGGGATCTGTTTTGCAATGGAAGCAAGAACGTAGATTGAAAGTTTCTGTTGTCATCTGGACACACATCTGCCCACAGTGTGTTTTAAATAACTGTTTACCTTGGTTCCACCTGAACAATTACACAAAATGAAATAAGGTTGAGATAGTCCAGGTAGCATGTGACAGCCAAGTCAAGCGCAATGGTCTCTTGGAGGTGGTACCAACCTTCTCCCAACCTGGAGCAAAAAATAAATCCAACTGATCCCAAGAAACAGCTTGTCTGCAAAACAAGAGATGCTTGTATGCATCATTTGCATTGTTCGTGATCTCTGTAGTCATCCATGTCCACATCTGAATCAAAAAGGGAGTGTCCAGTGTAATCTGTGTCAGGAGTATGAGAAATACTGTTCCCTTCCTCATCAAATGTTTCTGTCCTTGAATAAAAACTGAAGTCCTGCAAGGGGGAGTGAGTCTTGCTTGTGTCACTGCTTTCCTCAGATTCATACAGAGTATTATCGTCATCATGATGCCATTCTGGCCAGAATTTCCTCCTTATTCTTTCACAATACATAGCAAGGTTAATGAGTTCACCTGAAACACAGCACAACACATTCCAGTAAGTACATTCAGTCAATAAAACTTTAACCTATCAGCTGATTTGGCATTGTTTGGAAACAATTTATGCAGGTTCCTTTCAAAGAGGAATCAGAGACTTGTCTGAAAACGTCAAGCTCCAGTCAACCCTCCGGGTGGCTGTTTACAATTTTCACATAACTTAATACAAATACTATTAACCTACGTACAATAAGAAAGGAACATATATGCATGTAGTGAAATAACCGTCCCAAATTCAACCTCAACAGAAATAAAGCAAGACAAGTAATACCATAAGTTGTTCTAGCAAAACTCTTGCTTATTTGCTGTAGTTTATAAAGACAGGACTGAACTCAACTCTATGTGCACAGCTCACTCATTTGTTAAAATACTGCGAATTTGGATGTTTTGTATCTGCACCACCAGATGGCAGCATTGCCCACAAGATAAATTTATGGGTTTGTTTTTCTTTCTGATTCACCTCCAGTATTCATAGCCTCAGCAGGTGTGTTAAGCCATGTGTAGATACATACACGTGTGCTTAGAGAGAAGAAATTACTAAAAAACTTCAAACAAAAAAGAAATAACAGCGTATTAAGTAGAAAATGAACATGCACATGAAACCTGCACTCAGCATATCACAGCATGAGTAGCTGGATAGGTATGGAGCATCATCCATACTGCTTATGTACTCGCATCTATTACCTTCTGTTCATTTTTGTCAGACACAAAGTAGTTCAACAATCATCATACTTTTTCTTGAAACCAATCAACCCTTCAGAATTTTATCTGTGACTCTTCAGACATCAAGGGTTTTACTGTACAGACTACTTATGACCCTCAAGTCACAAACCCTTGATGGCACGGATTTTTTCCTCAAATCAAAGCTTTAATAATGAGAAAATCCAAATTGTCACCTCAGTAGCTACCTCTTATGCAGAGTAGGTCTATGGATCAGGTTCATTGCTTTTACAGCTATTCCACACCCTTTTCCTCCTCAGTTCTTTCCATTTTTCACACTATGTTTATTCTACAAAGTGATGCCAAGATCTTCCACCAGACTTTCACGTGCCAATACCTCTCCACGAGGAATAACAAAATTCAGAGATGGGAGGAAGGAGATACGGTACACTGGTTTCTAATTCATTTTACTCCAAAGCCAGACTGGATTCTTCTCCTTGCCCAGTGTCCTTAATAACAGCAAAAGCTTAAATTTCAGTGGGACAACAGTATTTGCAGTTCTACTGTCAATGAAACTATTTAGCTCAGCGGAATTTGGCTCACAGCTTCTAATACTTTACTCAGCATTCATCCCTTATAAGCACTCAGCTTTTGCTATGTCAAACAGGGAAAAGATCAAACACAGGAATGGAAACAACTACCATTCAAAACATTAAAATGAGAACAAACAAGAACTTCACCAGAAAAAAAAAATATCACAGAATAGAAATGCTATATTAAACATGAAAACAGCTAATGATATAGCTGAAGTACTCCTGCAATCCTATGAAAATCCTACAAAATGTTCCATACTTAAAGACAGCAAATGCCACCGAAAGTTTGTTTTTGTTTTCTGTCATAGATCACTTTAAACTGCTTACCTTTGATTAGTCTCTCTGGTCTAGTCCCTGGCAGTGTCCACATTGCCTGTGCCAGATGACCAAAAACTGTGGCATCAACAGTGGACAGGTTTGGTCCCATAATGTACTTTTTGTCACCTGTAAATAAAACAGCAAGGCATTTTAATGGGGACATGTCCTCCTCTCCTCTACAAGATAAAGAAGACAGATAAGAAGTATTGCCTGCTTCCCCAGCATAGGCATTAGACTTGGAGCAAAGAAAGCAGAGCAAGTGAATCATGTGGCATTTCAGAGGTCAGCTTAGATGGCTGCATTGTCCCTGCCTTTGCCCAAAGTGCTATAAACCCTGTGAAATGTTGTATGTAATTGAATTCTCCAAATCCAGTTACCCCATCTCCCCAGGACATTCTTCCCCTGTATGCCAGAAGCTGCCTGTAATCCAGCAGGTTATTAAATGTTAGGGTTATTAAATGAGTTTAGAAAAACTGTCCAGCAGTAAAATGCAGCAAATTCTAAAATACAACACAATGAAGGCTGTTATCCATCTGCACTATGATGTAGCAATGCAATACACAGAAATAACAAATAATAACTTCCCACAGCATGTCAAATATGATACAGAAATGGAGTTAACTCTCCCCAGCTCTTTCAGAACTGCACCAATCTATTCTCTGACGACTATGTACTGGGTAAATGTTGTGTACATTCTGTATTTATGTGTTGTTCTGCAGTCATTGATCTCAAACACAGCTCAAAAACAGGTCCCCAAACCACAGTAATATGCTGTGTAAAATCCCATTTCACCTGACAACACTATAAATTTAGGACTGCTCAGCTGGGTCTGAGTCTCAATCCATAACAATGTTACTCTGGGAAGCAACTCCACTAGAATAACAGCAGGTTGCAAATCAACCCTGTGAATGAGGAGAGCCTCCAGTCAGGCTGGAAGTCACAGAATCACAGAATGGTTTGATTTAGAAGGGATCTTTCCAGTTCCAACCCTCTGCTATAAGCAGGGACACCTCCCTCTAGACCAGGTTGCCCCATCCAGTGTCTCACTCACCTCCTGTCCCCAGCTCAGAATATGACCCAAGGCCAAGGGTACATAGACCCAGCCACAAACAGCTCAAGAAAGCTGGTGTTAATGGCAAGTCAGGGCAATTACCAAAGAGCAGGGAAATGCACCAATAATCACAATGGCAAACATAGTAACATAGTGACTAATACAACATTCATTTCAGAAGGGAAGATAAAAATGAAATGTACAATATTCAGCTAGTAATGTAGTAAAGTAACCATAACACAGCAAGTGCCCATCAAGGCTTTTTAAAACACGAGGCACAACCTTCTCATCAATAATCAATAAAACCCCTGCTGGTAACGTGCACCAGTAAAAAAAGCAGATGTCGCCCAGTTTGCCAGCTCTGTGACTGCCCTTCACATTTTTTGCCACCACAAGCAACACATACTGTGAAAACACATATGGAGGTGCAGGAGCAGGGAGGAGGTCTATCCAGAGAACGGAAGAATTATTTCCAACCAATGAAAAATGAATCTTACAGAGAAGTCTGAGGATTTCCAGCCATTTCTCCAAGCAAAAACAAAAATGAAATAAATGGTTTGATCACAGCATTTATCTTCACAGGAGATGGCACAGGCAGGAAGGGCAGGAAGGACTAGAAGGAACATCTGCCTGAAGGCTGAGAGCATGCATCCTCCAATTTGAAACTGGACAAATTTTGAACACATTTTGATGGTGATGAACACCTGCCACCTAATAACTAATGAAAGTAGCTGTATCTTCACCTTCTGAAATCTTTTGACCTCTGGCCTCCAAAAATAGTGCTTCTTCAAAAGAAAATCTCTGATTTTTCTTAAACAACCTTAAACAACAAAACGCATCATGAGAAAGAGCCAACAGAGAAAGAAGTGCCAACAAATCTCTCCCTCATCCACTGTCCATGATCGTAACTCCTTTTTCACTTTGCTCCCAACCCAGCAGCTCTCTGCATTTCAGAAAACTTGCACAGCTCCCTCTAGTTCCTTTGCAATTTTCTTTTTTTCCCCAAACACCCTGGAAGAACAAAAGCATCTTAGCAAGCCCTCAGTTTTTGCCTTCTACTTGGCTACCCTTCCTCCTGTCCATCCCACAATTCAAGCACGTGTTCTGTTCTCTTTCCTGAGCACAGGATGAGTGCAGAAGCCAGGACTGGGCAGGGAGGACCCCTCTTGCCCAGCCACCACTTAAAGGATCATAACAGGGAACACAAACTACATCAGCACCACCTCTTGGATTCTGGACCAAGGGAGGGACAAGCTCAAAGTAAGGGATAACGTGCCCCAGATGAACTCCTCAAAATACACATTTTTACACAAAAGCATAGTACAGCTAGCTCTTGGCAGGCTGAAAGTGAAAAGCACAGTGCAGACAGTTTTAGTTCAGACTTCAGCCTGAGCTACACTACAGAAATGAGGCTTGCACAGTTCTGGCTGAGGTCAACCTTAAGACAATCTCTGCATTGTCTACCCACAACAGCCAGCAAGTCTAAAACCATCCATTTTGACAACACAGACCCATCTCCTACCAGCAGCTTTAAATGAAGCTTCTAACACCAACCAAATGCAGCAACATCCAGCTGAAAGTAGCATTTGCTAAGGACTTTCAAAAGGCCACATTCTGCTCCTCCAGATACTCAGTGCCCAGAGAAGCAACCTGTTTACCCTCCTAGAAAGGCAGTTTGGTAACAAAGAGGGAGGAAAGAAACCCACCCCCGCAAGAGTGGCATTGGGGAACAGCAGCAGTGTGAACACCACCTGACAGCAGTGAGATTATTTGTGCCTGTGACCAGGCTGACATATGGCCATTTCACGCTGAGGCACGAGGAGGTGAGTGGTTTGTGGTACATTACCCAGGAGACTTGCTAGAGTCCTCATGTCCTTCTCCATCAGTGTGTACATCTCCTCCTCAGAGAAGCGGCCAATTCCGTGACCGTACATCTCCCGCTTCACGATCCCTTTGGTCAGATGGCAGAGAATCCACTTCAGCAAATCACTGAGAGGGCCGTAAACTGAAATCATCTTTTGCGTCTCGTGAAGGTTTTCCACCCATTGGCAATAAGCTAGAGTCCTACAAGGATGCAAACACCAAGTCATAACAGCACAGTGCCCAGAGAGCATGGAGCTAGGGAAAACAGAGGAAAATGGAGAGAGCAGCCATTCCCACCAGCCTGTTCTCCATGCACTCTATTACTGCTTGGCTAAGTTTCAGCAGTACTTTGCACCAACATAAATATTGTAGCAGTCATTCTTCAAAAAGATCTCTGCTCTCTTCATAGATTAACCATGACATAATCTTTACAAGAAAAAAAGAAAGCTGCAGAGATGGTACCTATCAGATTAGCTCTCATCTGAATTTTCTTTCCCTTAATGAAGATGTTGATCTTACACAAGATACCTTTCTGAAGGCTTCCACTGTATTTCAGGCTGGATTTCAACTTCATTAAATGGCCAAAGTATTATTTCAAAAGATCTTTTCATCAAAATTTGTCTTACCAGCTACATAATACTTTTCATCCTTTACTAATACTGTAGGCAAAGGTCCTTTGTTGCTGTTGCTACATTAACTTTTCTGATACATAGCACCTTCTGACATAAGGCATTCTGAAGAAAGGAGAGACCATACAACTTCTGTCACTGGTTTAAGGAATACTGGAAGAAGAGCGGAAGACATCTTTAAGTAGATGAGACAAATGCAAGAAGCCATGGGTCTAAGAAACATTGGGAATTTATAGCCATGTTCCATTTTGTATTTCCAAACTGAAAAATGTAGAAGTAAGCTCACACACTTGAACTGTATGAAAAAAAGATTCATGAGGATTTGAGTTTCCACCAGGGGAGATTTAGGCTGGACGTTAGGAAATACCACTTTTCCAAAAGAGAGGTCAGGCAGTGGAAAGGGCTGCCCAGGGAGGTGGTGGAGTCACCAACCCTGGAGGTGTACAGAATATGTTTAGATGTTGTGCTGAGGGACATGTTTAGTGAGAACTACTGGTGACAGGTGGGCAGTTGGACTGCATGATCTTGTAGGTCTTTTCCAACTTTAGTGATTCCGTAGAATCATTAGTCTATAGACTAATGAAGCTTGATAGAAAAGTTGGAATATCAGAAGTTGCAAATGCATGTATGTAAAATATTGAATGGTGTTTAATAATTAAATGCTTCCATTTCCACTATGGCTGGAAATTAGTTCTTTTAATTCGTAACTTAAGTTTTATCTTTGCCCATATTTCAAATTGCACTCTCTTTATGCCTATATGGATTATCTAATTCAATATAAGAGGGAAAAAAGAGACTTCCTGCATATTTTTTCACACATATAATTTTTCAAACTCTGGTATACCATGACCAGAAGCTGAATTTAGAATTATCATCAGTAAGCAACTACTTTAACACCGTGAAAATGCTCTAATCTTTACATTTCCACACACTCCTTATTTGAATTACTAATAACACAAGGTAAAAAGAACATATTTGGCATAACAGCTGAAAAGAAGCCACTTAAAACTCAAATGTACTATGTTCTCTCTGAGAGGATAAAAGGCATTTTAATTCCCTTTAAAATTGTCCCCTGCAGGATGATATCTTCTGCTCAGACTGGTTTCATTATATTCAGCAACAGTGAGGCACATGCAGGTTTCAGTGCAACTGCATGAACAATAAAGAACAGAAATGCACCTGCGTTGTTTCGGACTTCTTTTATTCTCACCAAGTTTCTCCAAAAAACATCTTCTACTGTATTAGTATGACAGCAGCATCTCATTGATGTTTTGAATGGAGATGTTGCATAATCTCGTCTGAATAGCATTCAAACTGTATGAACCAACTAAAGTTTTTGGGCTGGTTTCTGCAGAGTTTGATACAGGACTGGATTTAGAAAAGAGCACCAACAGGAAAGTAGAACACAAAGCCAGGAAGCAGAGGGTACTGAAATATCAAAACCATCAACTTTTGAGGACAAAGTCCCTTGGACAAATACAGCTTTGAAGAAGGAATCTGGTCTGAATGTGAACCATAGGAAATAATTACAACTATTATCTGTGTGTGCCAGCTATTATTCATACTATTTACTCGAGTTAACTGCAAGAACCTGCTCTTTAATAGCACAGCTGTGCGTGTCACTATGAAGACCCTCATCCCCCAGCATGGATCTCATCAGCTTCACCCACTGGTCATTCTGCAGCACTATTGTAATTGCTTTAGCACAACAGGAGTCACCACGGAGGGGTAGCAAGAAAAACAAGGCATGACAAAACAAAGAAGCAGAAAGGAGACTGCTGGAGCATTTTTGAAAAATCATCCCAGTCACACACGACCAGCAGACCCTCTAGACCTGCCATGACTTTTATTCACTCTGACTCCACCAGTGAGCTGGCATTGCACCGAGCCATCAACCACGTCTGGGACAACTGTAATTCCATGAGACAGCACAAAGGTTTCCCACAAAGCTAATTAGCCTGTGCTGTAAAACAGAAGTACATTTCCATAATGCTCACTTGCTCATTCTGGAGGAGTAAGTCATTGGGTCTGGAAGAGGCTGAAGCCAGGTAAGATTTAACAAACAGGACCAGATTTAGGTAACCCTGCCTCGGTTATGCCATCAAGGCCAATCTTAGATGTGTGCCTGTCACTCTGAGGAGTAAAGCTGCTGCATGTCCCGAATCTCAAATTTACGTGAGCAACAAAGACAGGTAAACAGACAACCACTCAGTTTATGCCAAAAATGTTAGGCTTCTGAACATGCAAAAGCAAAGAAAAAGGTAGAGTCGGATTTAGAGGGACAGCTAAACATCTTTTTAAAACTAGCTTTACAAGCACTTTGTTAAAATAATTATATTCAAGGATTGATTTAATCTGTGCTTTTCACCAAAACATGCTCCTCTGTGCTTAATTCCAACTATCATTCCTCTGCTTAGACTGTATTAGCAGAGTATTATAAAAATAACAAAAATTAAGAAAAGCCAGAAATCATGCTGTCTATATAACCTAATTCAGCATAATTATAAATACTAACTATAAAAACTAACTGTAGTTCAGAACGTATGTGATGATATTATTATTTTATGTCATTTTGGGAAATATTAGCACCTCCATTTGTGCCAGAATATATGTGAATTCCTAAGAGTATAAATAAAACCATAATGCATTAAAGAAACACTACAGGGGTGAAGCAAATCTGAAGCATACATGTAACAGCAGCTCTGGCCTCAATACATAAATCAGAAGAGATAGAGAAAGTGACTCATCAGGAACAGCTTGCTTGATTATCCCCCAAGTATCTCAAGAGGCAAATAAAAAAAAAGGGGGGGGGAGGGTGCTCAAAAGGATGCAAACTGGAAGCTATTTTGCTCATCTAAATCTTGTGCAGAGTGGAAGAAAAGGATTCTAATAATTTCCTTCCACAAATCTTACCTTACCTGCTGTGCTACTTCTCAGAGTAGAATAGCTTTTAAGCCACCAGTGGTATGCAAGCGTCATCATCCTCAATAGCAGGAGAGATGTCACTCTTATAATTGGCTTGATGTTCAACATGTATTGTTTAATACACAGCAAGTTTGAATATCTGTCAGTCATTTGCATTATCATACCATGCTCCTCCTGTCCTTCAAACATGCAATACATTAGCGATGTTTTCACTGTCCTCTTAAAGAAAAAGTAAGAAATGAATGTATTTATGTGTGTGCGTATACATTGACAAATCACTTGTGTTTGACAATAAGGGCAACCAGTGTAATGCCTTTAACTGGTTTTCAAGAGCCCCTGGCAGTCACTGCAGACAGTGGAGGTGACCCAGCACAAGCCATGGGGAGATGACAGAGGCCTGCACACAACCAGGACCTCAGGCCTGGTCCCTGAAGCACAGAACCAGCCCACTCTTCCATTTCTTCCCTACTGACTCAACCTCACCCCCACCTAGGCTAAAAGGTTTCTTTCTTTTGCCAATTTAAACATAGCAAAAGCCTGACAATTATAGCTTCCTCCAGGGACAGAAGCTCCAGCACCAGTCTTATGCATCTTCGAGACAAGCTCTAATCCCAGCTCTAAAATAGGCATGTTCAATCACTCACTGGCATTCTGCCAGACACCACAGCCTAGGGCAGAGGTTCACAACAGTCCTACATCGCTCTCAGCTCCAGCCAGAGCAGCAGTTTCCACCTTTAAGGGGTACTAAGCGATCAGAACTGCAGCCAAAGATAAGCAGTCAGTTCAGCAGAGGCTAAACATTTCAGGAGGATGCTGAGCACCTACGCAGATTAGCTCCATCCACAGAGCTAATCCACAGGATGTTCTTTGCTTGTTCATTCAATTGATGTAATACAGCATTACTTATTTATGATGAAATTACTTTGCATCTGCTGGCAACGAGGCTGTATTAATCACATTTTATATCACTGCTTTGGAGGCTTGATTTCATAAATTTTCTGCAGAAAGGCCATGACTGTGACAAGTTTCCCCCCAGGGCACTTGAGGACATCACAAACAGACCCTCTGCTCCTGGTGGGAAATGAGAAGGCTCAGCACCAGTGCAAAGCTCTGCACAGCTACTGCCTGATTTTATCATGGTTAACTACAGGATGGTCAGAGCTGTTATTCAGGAATTACAGCAGCGTGAAGCCTCACAGCTCTGGCTCAGGCCTAGTATAGGGAACCAGCACAGTGTGGTCTCACCAGCACAGCAGCCCTCTCACACACCCTCACAGCGAGGTCATACAACAAAACTTAAAGCTGGGTCTTTCTATTCTGCAGTAAAAAAGTATTTGCCCTTGGGAAACTCACCTGCATGACTAAAGAGAAAAGGAAAGAGGGATACACAATGAGGCACGTGCCTATTTTTTCCCACTTCTTGCTTTGTCCACCTACTTCAGTGCCCCAGTTCAACAACTGAATCCCCCAGTACCTGTGTCCCATGCTCTCCTATTTCATGCCCAGCAGCGCTGAATGAGCTCAGTGGGAACACGGATGGACAGCCAATGGCTTCACCAAGGAAAGAGCAATCTCTAATTCAGAAACACAAGAGCTGTGCAAGTTTGTCATCAGTAATGTTACATTAAAAGCAGTTAAGCCTATGGACCATGAAACAATCAATACACTTAGGTAAGGAGATGGAGCATTAAGGGATCTAAAGGCCGCATCTTCCCCCTGGCAGCTACAACTATGGGAGAAAAAAGGAACAACAAAATGAAGAAATCATACTTGCAGACTACTGCAGTTTGAGAGCTGCAGTCAGATTTCTGAGAAGACACTGCAGATAGGCCTCACTAGTGAAAGTCATACTTTTGGGAAGCTAAGGATTACATTCTTAAATCATATCATTTAAACTACTCAATTCTATGACTGTTCCCAGGAAATACTACAAATGATTCAAAATACTATGCGTGCACGTGTTGCTGCTGATCTTCAATAAGAAGATGAAAGGAAGAAAGGTAAATGCATTCTAGTTATATCACACAGTTTTTCTAGAGGAAAAAAAAAAGTTATGTCTGAATGCAAGGCTCAGTCCAGCAAGAACTTTAAATGCATGCAAGAAAGCAAACTGTTGGGAAAAAGCCTTAAGCCTGCCAAGGTATCCAATGCCATGCCCAAAATGCTATGTCCACCTGCTACTTCTATGGATCCAGTCAGGAAAGGACACTTAGAAAAAAAGGACTGAAAAGTTGGAGTGGGGAACAGGAAGCATAAAAAATAAAAATCACAGACACTATATTCAAAGGTATCAGTAAAACGCATGAAGTATCAGCAAAGGTTTTCCATTCACATCCATTTTTGATCTACTTGGGTTACCACAACTAGTACAGCATCATATCAACTGGCACCAATGCCAACAATACTTACTAACAGGAATAATGAGACAGTAATCCATACTGTAATCACACATACAGGTAATTAAAACCAGTAACTGTAAGGATATCCATATTATTTCAGACTCACTCCATACGCTAGATTTTGTTTGTTTCCCCTCTTACACCTCCAATCTTTTCAGCCATCTTGGGTTTTGCTCCTCATTAACGAGGCTGCTTCTGCATGGAGGTCATAGGAAGAGGACAGACAGACAGCACACTGCTGTTCCTTTCTGCAACGCCAACTCCTTACCTTGCCCACACATCACTGCAGCTCTCGGGGGAGTTACTCCTGACTCATTCCAGCACAAGCAGAAAGGAGCAGCAATTTTCCACAGTGAAAAAAGCTGTGAAATTAATAGTTGGGTATCCAAGACAAAATAAGTATTCACTTCTAGACAAACAGTATAGGTCTGACAGCAGAACACAGCCAGCCTTTTCATGCAAGCTTACCAATAGAAATGCTCCTCCACCATCTTTGTCACTGCTCTGGAAACAGCTCTTTCTCGTGGACCAAGATTTTTATTTAAATTCACTCCAAGTTTCTCTTCCAAAAAGTCAATAATGAACTCAGTGCCAGACACTTTTTTGTGATTGTATTCAATCCAAGGCATTTTTCCTTGAGGGGAAAGTTTTCCATCAAAATAGTTCTAAGAAAAAAAAGCAAGTAAACAAACAAACATACAGACAAAAAAAAAAAAGGCACTTCAGATTCCATTTCAATAAGAATAAAGCTTTTTTATATAACTTTCCGTGTTTTTAAAAACAACATTATTTCTTAATTAACACTCCAGGATAACTGCAGCTATTCAATTGGAACAACAGCTCTGTGCAATATGAAAAACCCCAAATAATTATTTCCAGGTCCTGCAATGCATTGCACATTTTTATATTAGATGCCATGTGACCTAATATTATTTAAGGACCTGGGTTATTTAAGGGGATAGGGACACTCAGATCTCCCAGAAGATTGGGTCCATCATTCTAAACAAGTTTTTAATCACAGGAATCATGCCTTAATTTGGCTCTCACACAGAGCAGCACTTTTCATGTTAGAAGTACGTTATAAATGCTTCTTCACAGAATCATAGAACAGCTCAGGTTGGAAGTGATCCTAAAGATCATCGAGTTCCAAGTCCCCTGCCATGGGTAGGGCTGCTACCCACTAGATCAGGCTGGCCAGGGCCCCATCCAACCTGGCCTTGAATGCCTTCAGGGACAGGACATCCAAATTCACTGCCTGTATCAGATAGCTGTATAGTCTCTGAAGGTAAAACACAATCATGAGCCCACAGTTCAAAGACATATCGTTCCCTCACCAGGCAGGAGGGAAATCTCTGCTTACACGCACTTCAGCAGTTTTGTAACTTAGAAATCTCCTATAGCTTCAGACACACTTCCAATTGGACTTCTGAAGGTACAGCCCTGCTGCCCAGCACATTACTAGCCAGCTGCTGAACATGGGCATCTTCTTATACAGCAGTAATAACATTATTTTCTCCATATTTTTTCATTGAAGATGGAGAGGGTCACCACGCACCAGCAGCTCCAGCTTAGCCTGAATGCACATCCTCCTGGCTATTGCTTAAAACATGAGTGAACAACCACTACCCATGCGTGGCCACTCCCAGAAGCCCAACCCTTTCAGATCAAAACAGAAGGAATGGGTAACACTGCTGAGAAAACAAAACCTTCTGGTCTCAGTCTTCTCTGGGACTTCTGCCCAAGCAAGAATCTTACAGCAGGAATATTGGATTATGTAACCTCTGATCTACTGCATCCAAGCCTAGATGAACAGAGCAGCAGAATCCACACCACCTGCACATGCAGGTGACTGCTCTGATCAATGGCAGAAACACCAAAACTGCCCAACACCTGAAACCAAATAGAGAGCATGAAGTCCATAGCACCTTCATTATGATTTACCTTCCTGTGCACAAATACTGATGTTCTGCAGAAGCTGCTGGACTTGAACATGTGCTTATTACATGTTACTACAGTCTGTGTCATTTGCAACCCAGACAGAGCAGATTCTTATTATTCATCCACATACACACACATAAATACATTGTGTAAAATGTTGTGTTAATGCTGCATTAATATCACAATTTTAAAAAATGCAAATGATGGGTGAAGTTCTTTTAGGAGAGTCAATTTGGGTAAACCTGGGAGAAAAATAACAACCAAAAAACTGTTGCAGGATTTTCATGTTTCATTGCATACAGTTTATCAAACAAATCAGGAAATGTCTTTCAATGACCTGAAAAAACCTTTATCTAGGGACAAATTTCAGTTCTACAGTTCCTTTATCTGCTGTTCTCAAGTGGATGATTTTAGGCTTGAAACCTCAGTATTCTTACGGCTGCTACTAATTGCCATCAAATATTTACCAATTTTCCACTTGAAAACTGGTCCAGCTGCAAAGCAGGAAAGCTATGGTAGCGTCATTAAAAAAAACACCCTCATGCCTCATAGTACTTTAACCTGAACTGCAGGCTACAAAGCTCCTGAGAACCTCACTTATAGAGGAAATTATAAACCACACAGCACAGGGCTCTTCGGGGGTAATTTTATAGTATTCTCCAGAAGAAATTAGGCTCTACATTTTCAATTACTGTAGCTTACGCTTTACTTTTCCTCATGTTTCTTCTCACAGAGACTGCCATCTCTGCCATTTTCACAGAGCTGGTATGAAAACAGCACATTGCTGCTGCACAAACACTCGTTAGATTATGGAAATAACCAAATCTTAATAGTCATAAGGAAATCAAGGAACAACCAAAAGGCTTCCACAAACACCCACAATGGGCTCCTTTAATATAAGCTTTATGAAGAAAAGCATCAAACATTCTGAAAACACACCTCATTTCACTCTCCCCCTTCTAAGCAGCCCCTGCCCAGGAAGGTGATGACCCACAGTATGTCTCCAGCTGCATCCCTCAGGCTGTTCTCACAGAACCATAGAAGGCAGAGGTTGGAAGGGACCTCCAAGAGGCCATCTGGTCCAACTCCCTGCTAAATGCTCTGAAGTACCTTCTTCAAGTGCCATTAAATCTTAATATAAGAAACATTAAAACATATGCTTTTAAATGCTTAAACCCAGTGTACTAATTAGGCCTTCTTTCACATCCAAAATAAAGGAGCTTAATCACATACAAATGTGGATGAGTATCAATCATAAATACAAAATCAAGTTCTCAGGTTTTTCTTCCTCTGCAAAAGACCAGATGCAATCAAAACATTCTTCATAATACCTGGAAGTGCAGCAGAAGATTTGAACCCAACCAAGGTGAGCATGCGACTCAGCCACAGCTCAGATCATCTGAGGCGAAGTAAGAGCTCAGACTTATTTAAGTTGAGGGAAAAGAGACTTCTTCCACCTAAGATTCTCAGTACAACAGTAACAACAAATATGACATCTGCAGTGACCTCAATGCTTTATACAAACAGCAGGAAGACTCATTTCGTGTCTCAAAGATTTTGTTTTCTGCACAACCTGCCTGGTGACACCACCAGACAGCACGCACCACGCTCAAAGCATCGCAGCTGAACGGGCCTGCAGAGCAACCCTGTTTTCCCACATGGAAGGGGAGACCCCGGTGACACCAGGCAAAGCAGAAGAGAGGCACATCTTCCCAGGAGGGCACCAGGGTGAAACCCTCTGGAAAACAAGAAGCTGCAGCTGCTTCACCTCGTTCTCTTCAGCATGGACAAATTCAAAGACCATGTAACACCGTCCTTCAGTTTTACGGTATTATTCAGTGAACTGCAGGCTATTCTCCTAGCATTTTTAGACAAGTTAACTTCCATCATCCGTTTTGGTTTACCTATTAAACCTAGAGCTGTTCTAGATCAACCACATTCAAGTGGTAACTTTAAAGATTATACACCAAATTTTGCCAGAGACAAAAGAGCTGTCACCTAGCCGGACAGTTGTACCTACATATTTACATCTCTCTGCATGAGAAAGTCTGGGGGGATGCCTATTTCAAGCAACTACAGTGAGCTGTGGTGTGAAGGAGAACTGTATGGATGTACCTGGTAGGGGAGGTCAGCCATCCTTAGGTATGTTTCCATTTTCAGACAGAAAGGTGACAGACTCGGAACGCCGTTGTTGGGCCTTGAAAACTGATGCAGTATGATAGCATCTTTTGAATCAATCTCCTGCTCTTTCCTGCCAGAAAACGGAACAAATTAAGGAGGGGAAAAAAACAAAACAAAACAAAGAACGCATCATAAACCAGCGTTTTAAACACACAAAGGAAAAATCCCAGCTGAGGCCAAACACGCATCCTCCCTTCTCGTATGACCGCAATGTTTTATTCGTCAGACGGAGGGCCGCTACAACGCACTGTCGCTGCTGCGGCAGCCCGGCTGCTCCCACGCTGGGTACCGCGCGAAGCCGCCGCGGCCGCCCGAAAGAGGCGCAGCGATGAGGCCCAGGCCCCGCGGCCCCGTCCCGCCGCAGGGCTGCAACGCCGGGCCTCGCCACCTTCCCGTCCAGGTGAGCGCCGCTCCGGCCGCGCCGAAGCGGCCACCGGCCGTTTCCGGCGTGATCGGGCCGGGCTTCGTTCCGGCACGGCACCAGCCGGCTCGCCGCCCCTCAGCCCCGCTCCGGGCTCCTCCGCGCAACCCTCGGCCCCCGTTCCCGCTTTCCCGCTCCCCCCTCCCCCGCCGGGGCAGCCGCCGCCCGCCATCGCCGCAGAGCGCACGGCGCCGCCACCCGACGCCCCCGCTCGTCTCTTCCCCGCCGGGTCCCCGGGACGCACCGCGCCCCTGCGCCAGGCGACGCGAAATGGCCGCGGGGCGGAACGGGGCGCCGAGGCACCGCATCCCGCGTCCCGCTCACCGGATGGCCAGCAGCTCGTGCAGCAGGTAGGCGGCGGCGGCCAGCAGCGCGCCGCCCGTCAGGTACAGCGTCTTCTTCCACCACGAGTCGGAGCCCAGCGCCGCCATGGTGCCGCCCGCCCCCGCGCCCGCCAGCGGGAAGGCGACCAGCTCGCCCCCATAGAGCGCGGGCGGCGGCTCCTCGGGCCCCGCGCACCAGCCCAGCGACAGGCTGCGGTTGCGGCTCAAGTCCGCCACGCAGGAGCGAGGCGCCGCCAGCCCGACTCCCCACAGCATGCTGCGCCCGGGCCCCGCATCCCCCGCTCCTCTCCGCTCCGCTCCCTCCGGCCCGGCACCGCGCAGCCCTGCCCGGCCGGGCGGCTCCGCCGGCTGCCGGCCCCCTCCCGCCCTCGCGGCGCGGCTGCGCGGGGCTGGCGGCGGTGCGCAGAGCGGCCTGAGGGGGGCGCCCGCCGCCCTGAGCGCGGGGACGCGTCTGCCCGGCCGAGCCGTGCCCCGAGGCTGCGGCTGGGGGGATCCTCGCGGCGCTGCGAGAGGGGACGCGCTGCTGTGCTCCTCAGCGAGGAGCGGGGCCTCGCGTGCTAGCCCGTGGCTGAGGTGAAGGACATCTGCCGTCGCATACACACAGCACGAAACAGCAAGGCCCTCTTCCAAACCCTTTAAACAGAGCGCTTATTTTGCTCTGTTATTCTGAAGCTTGACAAGGTCAGCAGCAGAAGGGAGCAGAGCACCTCCGGGAGTAGAAAGGCTTTAAAGCAAGTACCTCGACCTGTGAGGCAGGTGCATGGGGTGGGAGCACTGTGTGCTGCAGCCTGCACTCAGCTCCTGGGGCCCAGGGCACAGCGCACGGAGCAGCCTGGCAGCCGGATCTCAGATGCTGACCTGAGAGGTCCCAGCAACCCCCACTGCACACACAGGTTGCTCCCTCCAAGCCCTGCTGCTCTCCCTTAGTGAGCTGCTGGCACAGCTCCTTCATGGAGCTGGGGCCATTCCATGCTATAGGCAGCACGCAAACAGCAAAGTACAGGCAGGAAGGGAGACCGGCAGCAGTGTCATGATGAGGTTCTGCTAAATGTTGCACTAGGGCAGCAAATAAGACGAAGAAAAGTTCTTTGCACCAACACCTGCAAATCTCAGGTTAAGATCTGCTTCAGTGCAGACAGCCCAATAAATCTGGGCTGCTGCTGCTTGGTGGCCGATCTCAGCATTTGCTGCCACAAGGGTCCTGTGCTACAGATAAGAGTGATCCAATTACAGATGAGCTTCTGGGAGGGCAAGGAGAGGCCCTGGGCATCCGCATGGCAGCTGCCACATTTGCAGAGGCAAATGAGCTCTCTTAAAATCTGTGCTTTGAATCATTTCCACCACACACAGTGACAAGCTGTGTGGGAGAGGAGAGCAGGAAGCAGGCATTAAATCTTTCACCTCAGCACTGCCCTGCATGAGGTGAGCAAAACTGTTGCTTTGAAGGAAGCAGTTCATGCTCAGAAAGTCAGTGCTCTGTGCCGACATTCCAGCTTGTGCCCTTGCTGGCATTAAGATGGTGCACAGACTGGAAGAAGGCCACAAGATCTGCCTTGCTCTCTCATTTATGGGAGGAAAAATCAAAGCTTGGCCCTCAGCTGGATGTCATCCACCTCATCTCACTTCTTGGGGCAAGGAACATCAGAACAAGTAGTGGTACATCTATGTGTCTGTACTTTAACTACATTATGTCGGGGCCTGAGACCTCATCAGACTTTTGAGTTGGGTATCACAGAATCACAGAATGGCCAGGGTTGGAAGGGACCTCAAGGATCATAAATCTCCAACCCCCCTGCAACATGCAGGGCCACCAATCTCCCCATTTAATGCTAGACCAAGCTGCCCAGGGCCCATCCAATCTGGCCTTGAACACCTCCAGGGACGGGGCATCCACAGCCTCTCTGGGCAACCCAAGTGACTGCCTCACCTGAGGTTTGCTTTCCTCTGCTGTTGTTGGTTGGTTTTGGAGAGCAGATCTTCAAGAATAAGGACCACTCATTTGCTGCTGATCTCACCACCCCACAGCTCCTGCTGTCTCCTCCTTCCAAGCGGCCAGAGCTTGGGCAAAGTAATGCTTTAACAACTCCATTAGTTGATACAGATTGTTTCCTGCTTAGTCCCAGTGCAACATGGCATTAAGCAATCCTTCTTCTCTCTGGATGCTTAGAAGAAACTCTCCTGTAAGCACTGCCCAGAGGTGCTCTGTCCAAAGAGAAACCACCCTGCAGTGCCAATGTGTGGAGATCTGCCAGCCCCAGTGACACTGCCACTCAGGTAGGATCCCACGTTGTGTGCTGGCAGAGCATCCTCTGGGAAGGCTTGGGGGGGGCACAGAAATGTTTTTCTTCTGCTTGAAACAGCTCGAATTTACTGAGCCTTTGCTTGCAGAAGACCTCATTTGATTGAGTTTGAGAATGTGAAAAAAAGCTCATCATAGCCAGCAGGCTCTGCAAGTTCCTTTTGAAACAGTCACTGGTTGCTGCCAGGGTTTGTTTTGTTGTAATATTAATTATCTCTCTGGGCAGCTTGGGTTTCATATACACAACTCTTTAATTATTCAGATAAAAATAGCCAAGGTATAGCTGTAAAGCATTCATGCTGCTTTTCAGTTTGTATGCAGAAAAGGAGTTGGTGAATACTTTGATTAAATACAAGCCTAAAGATACATGGAAAATGTAGAACAGCCAGAGTCTAAAATGCTTCTCTTCTGTATGGAAGGACCTCTATGTAAGTCCCAGTTTACCTCGCACCTTCTGATAAACAAGGCCACTTTCAGAGGTGACTCACACCATGAGAACGCCCCAAATGATGAAAATAGCTCAGTGTTCCTTCCTTCTGCACAAAAAAAAAAAAAAAAAGAAAGAAAAAAAAGAAAGACTATGCAATAAGCCTCCTGCTTTCTGCAAATGGCAGTGCTCTGGCTGGCAGCTCAGTGCTAAGCTGGCCACGTTCATAAGTTATTTATATTGGTTGGACTGTATGATCTTAGTGGTCTTTTCCAACCTTAATGATTCCATGATTCTGTTTTATGAACTAGGTAAACTGAAAAAAAAACCCTAGTTGGCAGACCAGTCTCGTGGTTCCCTCAGTCATTTTTAATTGTATTATGATGTGAGCTTTCTGGACAGTTGGCAAGTTGCACGCTTCTGTGGTCAGATCTTTCATCTGAAGCTTTCCCAGAGCAGAACAGTTCCAGAAACCCACTGCAGTTGCTGCTCAGGACCTTCCCTCCTTTTCAGGTATCGACTGGCAACAGCATCCTCCCATCAGAGGAATTCAGACTCACGCTTCTGTGACCTCAGTATGTGCATATTCACATTCAGGAGACTGAACACCTCAAATCTTTTCCTATAACTTCTCTTACAAGTGTATATAATACAGCTGCTTTATTTTAAGGCCATGTTTACATTTTAATTTCAGCTATTTCAGGTTTGTTTTTTCAGTTGGTCCAACTCAAGAGGATACAAGAGGTTTCAAATTTATTAATGGAACAGTAATGGTCTTCACAATCCTTTTAAGAAGAAAAAATAATGTGTTTTTTAGAGACAGTGAATATTGATTACATCACTGGAGTGACTCCATGTGGGAATAAAAGCACAATAAAATGCAAATCAAATATATATTCCGAGGTCCTAATGCACTGATGGTATCAAGAGAGGTGGCTGTGCAACGTGTGAAAGTCATGACAGGTCGGGTGGTTTTACATCCCAGACAAAAACCCACCCATTCTAGCTAGAGTCAAACATGACATCATTCAAGAAAATGGTGATGTGTGGTGATACAACAATCACTGTGATACAAAGGTTGGTGAGAAGATTAAATGGTTAGAGATTTATCCTGTAGCCTGCAGGAACAAAGCGAAAATACAGGTTGATTTTTATCACAAAAAATAATCTGAAAAGAATTATATTTTTGTTGAAATTTATGGTAGCATTCAGCCTAAGCAAAATTAATTGATTTTAAAAAGGTTATATTGGAGCTGGGGAAAAATATGTGATTATGATGGCAAGATGTGCATTACATAACAGGAACAATTTTTTGGTCACTCATCCCATCATGAAGCAGGAGACAGTACAATAAAATCCACAGTGGGCGGAAAAAGTAGAAAGTTATTCCAAGGCAGTGAAGAAATAAACCACAAAACCTTCTTTTGAGATGCTGATGGGAAGCTGTGTGCTAAGTGTTACTATCTCTGAGGGCTCAACAAAGCCTGGCAGAGGGTTCTGGAGGTCAGAGCAGAGAGCCCTGCCTCAGCACAGCTCTGTCACTGTCACAGAGAGCAGAGCTCAGCGCTGCTCCTCCACTCCCTGTGAGGAGCTGCAGCTGCCATCAGGCCTCCCCTCAGCTCCTCTGCTCTGGGCAGAGCAAACCAAGGGATCTCAGCTACCCCCTTATACATCATCCCCTTTGGAGCCTTCACCATCTTGGAATACACAGCAAAGAAGTATTGTGACAGTGTATGTTTGCAATAAAAGGGATATGGCCACAAGAATCTACTGTGGGATTCTACCTGGAAGCATCAGAGTACAAGACTGTTAAACATAAGAAACAACATAAGCGAGGATCTAGCAGCTTCTCATGAGTGACCAATGTTCAATTTGAAGCCAGAGGAGCCCAACTTTCCTTCCCAGGAGCTTGGTGATGGGGCAGGAATTTGAACCAAGGCACTAGGGTTAATATGAGAAGACTCAGGTGGAGCTGAGATCCTCTTAAAGCACTGCAGCCACATAATCAATGCTTTGATGGTGGTTCATCTTTTTGTTTCACTCATTCTCCTCCAGCCTTCTTCATCAGACCGGTTAATTACAGAAGCTGGGCCCTTTGGCCTTTGAACCTCTCAACTGCATAAAACATCAGGGAAACTTCAAGTTCTGTTTTTATTTTAAAACAAAATTATGTGTAAATCTTTTCTGAGGATCTCATACATATTAGGCTAGAGAGCAATTAACATCCGAATTATTATCTGAAAGGGCAGTTTTACGAGGGAAGTTCATCTTGCTGGAAGCATCCTGCCCCTTGAGGGGCCATCCTGCCCCACCCTTATCTCTCCATGTGGCTGCTGTAAGTCCTCAGCAGTGGGAAAATTCATCTCCAGAACAACACAACCACTGCCCCCCCAAAAAAGAACTGAGAAAACAATTATTTATTGGGCAAGTAAGCAGAATCAGAGTGCAAACAACTTGGACAAGCTTCAGACTCGGTAATGTAGTGCATGGACCAGGGTGGGAGAGCTCAGACATCAGGAGCCTAAATCAGAGCTAACAGCTGAGACTGGCCAGAACAACAGAGTTTGCTCTGTTGCACCTTTTAGACAGAACAGATCTTTGCTCTGATTTGCTGTGTTGCAGGAACAGATGGCTGAGGAACAGGAGGTTCAAGGGATAACAAATAAAAATAAATGCTGGAAAAAAAAAAAAAGATCTTTTTTCCCAATTTCAAGGCAAGAATCACTCTTGCCTCACCCCTAGTCCCAGCTGCTTACCTGCTGCTGTAACATTTCTTTTTTTTCAGCCTACTGTTAAACATAAGAAACAACATACATCTACTCTTGTAAGCCTCAAACTATGGCTCCATACTTAGAAACAACTTGCAACAGAAAAGCCAAAGGCTTGCAAATTTATTTGACTTAATTTCTGTCCACTTCAATAGCACCTACTGCACTTTCACAGCAACAGGCTTCAAGGTCCGTGCCACTCACTTAAGCTCTCACATTTGACAGCGTTTCTATACACGTGTAGCAACCGTAGATGAGGTGCCCATGCCGAGGTACATGAGCACTATATATTGCATTCTACATCACTGAACTCTTCACGTGAAGATAGTTTTTCTTCCCAAAAGCCAAACTATAGCATAGATATTACAAAGCAGAATTTATTGTCACACAAATATTCACAGTAGAGAATCCTTTCCGATTTAATATCTATGAATTACTACTGCATCCCTTAGTAATTAACTATATTCTTATATACATCATCAGATCCAACACTTTGATTCTGAGGTACCACAGAGCAAAGCAGCAAGAATACAAATATGTAATATAGTAATTTAGCCCACTGAACCTCTGCAACAGGTGAAATACTGAAGTTTCATTTTCAGTTTGCAGGGATGAACGTTAAAAAACACAGCCAAGCCACCTCTTTGTCTATATATAAGCCAAGGGAAAGTGAAGGAGAGAAGGAAAGAGATACAACCATAAAGAGACATTTTATTTATAAAGTCCCATTTCAACAAACATTTTTCCTTATGCTGGCACAAGAAATTTACAAGCAACTAGGTATGGCATTTTGATTCTAGGACAGACCACTAATGCAATGCATATCTAGCAAAAAGCTCTAGTTGCTTAGTAAAGTTCTACTCACAGCTTTATCATCTTTTATTCAGGTAAAGGGAGAAGGTTAAAATAGGAACAGATAAAGTCAGCTCATGGTGATGAGAGTTCTGACAGCAGAGGCACTCTGGGCTATAAACTCTCCTTCCACTGCAGTGATCAGCTGTAGAAATAACACAACCCAACAGCAAAGGGTTGTTACTCTTCTTTCAGCATCCTCCTTCCCCATGCTGGGAGAAGGCACAGTGTGGAAACAAGTGATGATTGTGGTTTTTAAATGTAATGTATTTTAACATGAAGTACTTTATACTGAGTAACTGAAATATCTAAAGCATTTTATTTCTCATACATTGTGTTTTCATCCTGCATTTATGCTATCATTCTATGGAGAGACGAGTTTTCCTCAGATGACACAAACATCATCATCCAAAGAAAGAGCCTTCTCAAAGCTACTGAGGGAACAATTTGAAACTACTTTTTTTTTATACAAAGACTTCTTCCAGAGCTTTGCTCATTTCAATCTTAGAGGATTCCTGAGATAACAGGCACTTGTTTTTCCTGGAACTGCCCAAAAATATTTGGCCAAAAATGGCACTAACATTATTAATGCAAACAGCAAGCTTATTGTTACAAAAGGCTTTATTGTGCCTGTCTGTGTAAAACCTTTTCTGTTCCTGGTGGCAGTCCATCAGCATGTATCTCAGCTGGTCACACGCTGGTGCCAGCTGTGGCCGAGCACTGTTCACTTTCCATCTCTGAGAGAGGCTCTGTTTGGCTTGTCTGTGCCTGACCCCCAGATTTCACAGCGTGCAGGGCATAGTTAATGCTTGTGCTTTCAATCCAGCTCCAGGACTCAGTGAGGGGGTTGTACAGCATCCCATTCACAGTCTTGACAGAGAAGCCATCTAGAAAAGTAAGAAGGCACAAAGAAACATTTTCTGAGTCACTGCCACATCAAACACTTTCAAACAGCAAGTCTGAAATACACTTCTTCCACTTGTGGAATTGTGCACCACAAGCCTGCTTTTGTCAGACACCACCAGCAGAAGTGACACACCATTACCACACCATATGGTAAGCCACTGCAAAGAGATACACTACAAGCAACCACATCTGGGCGAATGGTAAAGTTGTTTTTTTTTTATAGACAGACACATCCTTCAGACTGACACCACATGCTTAAAAATCAAAATGTGAGCATGTCTTTGGAAGGACTTTGCAGATCCCCCTAAGAAGAGGAAATATAAGAAAGGCAGAAGAGTGCAATCAAAAACTTGGTGCAAGCAAGGAGCGATTTAGCACTCCCTGTTGAGCAGCTCTCAGTTCACTGCATGCCTCTGCCATGTCCCAGTAGGATGCAGCAGACAAGGCAGAAAACAAACAGCCAGTCAAAACAAATCACTCCACTGCACCTGCTTCTCCTTTTCAGGAGAGAATAGCAACAAGCACCAGCACGTTGAGTCAGGCCGTGGTCCTGATGGCACCTCTGGAAGGTGCCATGCAAAGGCCTTACCAAGAGAATACTCATACATCAGGTTCCCTACAGTGAACTAAAGGAGAGTGAAATATTTGGTGAGAGGGTTTTAAAGCATGTTTAAAGAAGGAGGACAATGAAGCACAGTTCTTTCCAGCTCAGTACTTCTTCCTCTTGTAAAAGCAATCAAACCACAGCTGATTTGATCAAATCAGCATGGCACTCCTTCTCAAGAACTGACTGCTGTACTTGTGGTAGATTTCACCTTCACAATCTTAAAGGAATCTTTTAGTAACATAATATTCATAAACAACATGGAGCCACAACCAAAAATAAAACACCTCCCAGCAGTAAGATGACAAACAAAGCAGTGCAGCACAGCAGCTCTGGAGTGCCAATACGATTATTTCCTGAAACCTGACCTAGAAGATATGAACCACTTCAGAGTGTACATCCTGCCACCAGAACAGGATGGAAAACCTTGGCCTTCTTGCTTCAGCTGTCCAACAGTGGGGCAGCTGTAACGTTGTTCGAGTAATCTCTGCATTCGTACAACTCCATTTAGTTCATACAGTAGCCAGCAAGCAGCAGTGTCTCTAACCCAGAAATGGTACTCAACACCTATCTAGTAACTCACACAGGAAAAGCTGTGTACTGCCAACAGCAATCACCCTAGCTGTCCTATCCTCTCACCACTCCTACAGCAAGCACTGAGTCTCTCCCCATACTCCCATCACTCAGCCCGATACTCACTCGCTTCCAAGAGGTGCTCCAGCTCCTCTGGGGGAACAAACTTCTCCCAGTCATGTGCTCCTTCTGGTACAATGCCTGCTATTTTTTCTGCAACCACAATTCCCAGGATATAGGACAACTGAGTTTTATTGATTGTAGTAACGAACAAAGAACCTCCAGGCTAGTTAAAATATTAAAATGTTAAATCAGAAAAACATTTATTTGAAAATACACTTTAAATTCACTCTCATTAAAGCTTAAGCTGTCTATCTACAAGCCCATATGTTACAAGGTGACATAACCATATTCAGAAGGGTATGAAAACCACTTCCTTGCACAAAAACCATCTAACAAAGTCAGTTATAATATTACTCAGGAAATGGATAAAAGAAAGGCATAGTCAATACAATACCTGTAGTAAAAACAAAGATGTGTTATGTTTTTTTGTTTGTTTTTAAATTGAAGCCTTAGTACAACATGCAGTACTGCTCAACTTATCAGACTGCTGAACACAGTGCTTGCATTAATGATGACAGGGACAAAATCCAAAGGCAGGAATGAATTCTAAGTATTTAAGAGACTTTTTGGTAGGGAAAAAAAAAAAAAAAAAAAAGGATAATTTCTATGTCCCCAAATGACTGAAAATTAGTTAAGGATTCCATTCAAATAATCTACAATTTCTTCTGATGACCAGAAAGACACATCACGAGATTAGAGAGATGCTGCTTGTGCACCAGGTCTACCATCCTTCTTTGCAAAGATATCAAAAGGAATAAAACAACACCTGATTATCTCTGAGGATCACTATCACCCTTTATAAGCAACTCAGGAACTTCTTCTGAACCAGATTACAGTCAGTTTAAAGGCAGTCTGAGCCACTGCACTCCATCACCAACAGCAC